TTTTTTTTTGCTTCCAAATGACAACACATTCTGCACGCTTGGTGTGTTTCAGTAAATATGGATTTCAAGTTTTAATTTCGGGCAAAAAAGCAGTTCGACTTTTATTTTTTCATTTTTCCAGAATATATCGACAAACAGTCCGGAGTGCATAGGAATGGATGGCTTACTGGAAGCGTACAGAGAAGCCCTGAGTAGGATAGAACTAGCTGGGCCTACTGAGTTTAGTCCGACACTTCGTCATGCTGCTCGACAAGCTGCTTCATTACCGCCGGATGGTTGCCGATATTGTGTTCTCCTTATTATTACCGACGGTGTTATCAGTGATATGAATAAGGCAAAAGAAGAAATCGTCAAAGTAAATTCCTTTTACAGCTTATTCTTTATGATGTGAGTAATGTCGGAATCATCACCATCACTAAGTTCACCCGAACTAGAGTGGCGAGCACCGTATTTTTATGAATCCTTAGAAAGTGGTTTTAATCACTGCAAACCATCAGAAGAGTAGCGCCTGTTCGTACAACTGGGGATTAGTGGCAGAAGAAAAAAACACATACTTATACGTTAGAAGAAGATATTTTTTGGAAAAGAAAACAGCTATTTGGCGTATGCAGTTATCACAGATCTTCTCGATGAATGTAATTACCGTAAAGATGTAGTGAGCGTGTGGTACTGAAATAAGATGTATGTTATGTAAAGAGCAAAGAACAACTGAAGGGGATAAGTGCGGTGTAGGTAGAGTTGACACAGCTACTTGTAAAGTATATCTACATCTCATTAGCATCAGTAACTAGATATTTGTTAACGAACCGTTCTCAGTCGTGGAACGTTGTCTACTCTAATAAGCTGTTTAATCTTTGAGCATTTAAAAGTTCCCTGTGCTGCGAGTACAAACGATGAGCATTAAATTTTTTTAGGCGTCGTCCCTTCCGTTATCCATAATAATTGTTGGCGTTGGCTATGACAGTTTTGATGAAATGAAAGTTCTGGATTCCGATCGACAGATGTTGCAGATTAATGGAAAGTATGCAAAACGAGATATTGTTCAGGTGATATCAGTTGACTGCTTCTATTTTCTGGATTAGCTTGATACTTTGCGATTCAAGCGCTGTCGAAGATTTTGATTCCAGAGCTTACACTCTCTGCTTTTTTTGTCTCCGTAATTCTAAACATCGTCTTCCGACTAAAAGTGAGGCACACGGTTTTGTCTGGAGTACATTACTCTTCCCTTTTTGCATTTGTAGAAGGATCATAGATTTAAAATCTTTGAGTTTCCCCCATGGGGATCGACCAAGTAACATACGACATTCTTGCGTACTGCTCTGTTTTTGACAGTTAAGGCGGGTCACATTTTACGTATTCGTCATAATTTTACGTCTTGACGTGCCATCTTTTCATAAAATGGAGAAAGCACCCAAAACTTTTGTCCTCAGACAAACTTTTTTTCCCTTATTTCGTTCTCGTCTCCTCCTGTCCCTCTATTCACTGAATACACTGCTCTGAGCATTTCATCGTGGTAGTTGACGATGCTGGATCTGGCGTTTTGCTTTCTAAGACAATATCACAATTTTTAACTGAATTCCATCCACTTTGGTAATATTTCGTTTCTTTTTAATCAAATTTTCCGTCAATTTGTTAAGAATTTTACGGATTATTTAATTTTTCGCCTTTTCCCACTTTTCTAAGAAACATCTAGTCATTTCTTCCTCTTTCGAGGATTTTGATTTCATTCGTCGTAGGCTGCAATGTTCAACTTAAGTTTTAATTTCAGTTGTCTCAAAAATCGCGCACAAAGTGTAATGCCTATAATTTGTTGTTGCAGTTTGTACAGCTTCGCGAATTTTTACCGCCTCACCGAGTGCTGACCGATGACGATTTGGTCGAAGCCAAATATCGCTTAGCGAAAGAAGTTTTGCAGGAGGTAGTTTAT